TGAAATTTTCTTCAATTATTATCGTTATTTTAGATATATTGTTTGGGTTTGTATGTTCAAATAATCTATTTAGATAGTTCTAATTTTGTATGAAACCCTTCAATGCAATAATTTTTTAGTTATTCTTTATTTGCTGACAATTGCTATTTGATTTGACATTAGCACCTGAATTTAATTTATGATTCTGAAAACATTCAATTAGTAAGATGTATGTAAAAACTAATATAGTAACACCAAAGTTATCATCTTATTGTGAAATGGGAAAAACGAGTTGACAAGGGCAATAGATCTTTTAGTTTCATAATAAAAATAATTAGTTTTTTATACTTACACCTATCCCCCATTTTACAGGGTCCTCATTTACATGTATTCAATCTTAGATGGTTTTTTATATTAATTTTTTTAATAAAATTATTACTTTCGCATTTACACGAAATTATAAACACTAAACTATAATTTGCTTGTATCCACAATAACATTTTTTGTTGTTTCCTTTTAAAATACAACACTACAAAATGTATGTCACCATTATCAATTTTTAGTCTATGTCTATGATGCAAATCTATAGATTAAGATTAATCCTCCCGTTTTATTTATAAATTTGAAAACAAAGAGCATCATTGTTTTTAATCTTTGTTTTTAGATAGTATTTATATATAATAGCGTAAATTTATTTGAGATGAATAAATGAACAGAATCTCTTTCAACAAAATCTTTATTTCATAAAAAAAAATATGGTTTGACAATGGCAAAAGATGAAATAAATAGAGTAAAAAGAATGGTTATTATCTACAATCCAATTTTAATTTTAATCTATAAAGAAAATGCAATATTTGTTATAGATTTTTTTATATTTGTTTATCATTGAAATAAATTAATTCTTTATAATTTTATTAATATGTTTGATATTGAATATATTTCATTTTATTTTTTGTTTAATGGATTAGTTATTCATAATTTTAAAAGCTAACAAAAAGGGCTTTTTTGGGGGATAGGTGTATAGACAATCTTGTTAACACAAAATATTTTTATCATAGTTCAATTTAATTTTATTCTTTCTGACAGAATTCCAGAGTACTACTTTTTTATCTTAAAAGTTTTCAGAATAATCTTTTTGTTTTTTTTCTTTTGCACATATAACCTAGCAGCAATAGTAATATGTTTCAATTTAATTTTTTAGTAGAAAATATCCATGATGCTCATGCAACATTAAATTTTTTAAATGATCATATTCTCTCATTATCAACTTGGCATTTTATTTTAATTCAATATCACTATGTTCAGACAATTCATTCGACAGTAGAAGATACTTATATTGCCAGTATTGATACAGGACGAGGTCCAAGAGAAACACTTAGAATATTTGACACTGCAGGAATCCAATCCTCAAGTCAAGTACTATACATAATATAAACATACTTGATTTAATATTATTGTAAATTAATTCATGTTTGTTGTATTCAGATACCGAAACATTATCTTTTGTTTCCTGATGCATATGTATTGGTATACGATCCTAGCCACCCTGAAAGCTTTGACATCATTGCAAGTATAAAAAGTGAAATTGACAAAAATAAAGATAAAAAAGAGGTTTGTCCAACTTGATAATACACAAGATGATAAAACTAAGCTAATTATTGTTAATAATTGATTGCATTAGCTTCTGAAATTGATCCATTGTATATGTTATATTGGTACAAACTAGTGCATTATATAATAATGATTCAACAATAGCAATTCTATATTTAAAATAGCTATATTCATGAACTAAATGAAGAAACGTAATTGTAAAATTTTTGTTATTATTAAACATATCAATTATTTTAGATAGAATTATTGATTTAATTATTTTAAAGGTGGTGATAACAGTTTTATCAAATATGCATACCTCATCAATTCAACCAAATGATACAACAAATTCCAATTCACCTAATAAAAGTGAAAAACTGCCAGCCCATGTAGAAACTGTTATAACAAAAGCTAATACTTGGTCTGCAAAAGAAAGAGTAAGACATTGTGTTGTGAATGCCATGCAAAGGAGTACTCTATATGATCCATTTATTAATTTAGCTATAAAACTATATCCTCCAACAAACAAAAGTACATTTCCACTTGGAAAACTATCAAAAGTAAAAATTGATTCTCATAGCTGATTAAATGAAATTATTTGTTCACCTTATAAAAAATTATATTAACCAATTAACTTTTCAACATTTAGGAAAGTAAAAAATGATTTTTTTCATTTTTATTATATTATATAATTTTTTGACTATTTAAAATATGTGTTTATTTTTATGGTGATGAATACTTCAAATTGTTTCAATTTTATACAAAGTTTATATACATTTTTATGTACAGTTTATATCTATTTAAATACATTTTTTTATTTCCATCATTTTACATAATGGTATGTTGTTTCTTTAAGGAGGGAGCCGGCTTTAGAGGCTTTAAAATATCGCATTTTTTGAAGAATTTTTAGGGAAGGAAACAAAACTTTAATTGAAACGAAACTTTCAGGTTTTGTTTTTATATATTTCAACATTCTTCTCATAAAATATTTCATTAAAATATGTCATTATATATGTATATATATATATATATATATATATATATATATACAGGGCCGGTCCTGGAGTCCATAGCGCCCGCATGCAACTTTTTTTTTTAGCGCCCTCCCCCCTATCAATTTTAACTGTTTTAACAGTTTATTATTAAAATTATATAAAAATTACATTTTTTTAAAAAATTATTTTTAATTATTCTGGATTTAGTACCCGCGTATAAAATATATTGATTTTAAATTTATTTAGAAAATCTAGGCCATTTGCGGGTTGATTATAATCAAATATTTTTGAATTTTCAATTATTTTTAACATATTGCATTATTAATATTTGGGTTTTGAAACATTTTACTTATTTATTATGCTATTTATTCTATTGAGCAAAGCATGCCAAGGAAACTAAAAAAAACTAGCTTTTTGGTCAAAATTTTTTTGACCTTCGACCTTTGACCTCTGCCAATTTTCAGTTTTTGATCAAATTTTTTTTTGACCTTTGCCATGTAACCGTTGCTAGTTGGCTGAAAAAAATCTTTGACCTTTGACCTTTGCTAGCTTGAAATTTTCCGTTTGCCAATTTTCAGTTTTCGGCCAAAATTTTGGTATATAAGACGTTACCTACATTATAAAGCTATGCAATAAAAAAATCTTTGAAAGTTTATTTTCATAATCAATTTCTATGTTTATATATATACGAGATTTAGTCTTCAGGGCAATACATCAATTAAAAACTTGTATGAACTTATATCATTTTTATTGTTTCCATACGTATCGACACATATTTTGTGTCATCTTCAGTGAACTATATAATTGTAATACTCCTAATTATTCCATAATAATGATTGTTCAAATTGTTCAAATGCAAAAGACAATTCTTGTCACTTTAAATCGGAACAATTATATAAATTTTTAGAACGATTTTTTTTTATTGTAGAGTCACATTTCTGTTCTACTGTCGCATCGGACAACGGCTTTGCGACATGTACTCTACAATAAAAAATAAAAAACATACAAAAGAATATGTATCCATACAAATATTAAGTAGTTAAATTCATGAACTATAGAAAAGCAACTGTAACAATGTTAATATAATTATAACAAAATAAGAAAAAACAACAAAAGTAACTTACATAAATATGGTCTTACATCAGTAACTTGCGCAAGGCACATAATTTTGGAAATTTGGAAATATTATTGAGTATCAACTGATAATTTTCACAGGGTAAGGAGATATCACTCCTCTTATTAATACTAGTGTCAGATTTTATGAGGTTAATAATTGCAATCCTTCTTGCTGTCTTCAAAAAATTTTTTGACCAAATTTTTTTTGATCAAAAATTTTTTTCCAAAAATTTCTGTGACCAAAAATTTTTTGTCCAAAAATTATTTTGACCAAAAATTTTTTTGACCAAAATTTTTTTGACCAAAAATTTTTCGACCAAAATTTTTTTCTGAAAATTTTTTTGACCAAAATTTTTTTCACCAAAATTTTTTTGACCAAAAATTTTTTTGACCAAAAATTATTTTGACCAAAAATTTTTTTGACCAAAATTTAATTTTTTTGACCAAAAATTTTTTTGACCAAATTTTTTTTGACCAAAAATTTTTTTCCGAAAATTTTTTTGACTAAAATTTTTTTCACCAAAATTTTTTTAACCAAAAATTTTTTCCCAAAAAGTTTTTTGACCAAAAATTTTTCTTCAAAAATTTTTTTGACCAAATTTTTTTCGATCAAAAATTTTTTTCCAAAAATTTTTTGGACCAAAAATTATTTTGACCAAAAATTTTTTTGACGAAAATTTTTTCGACGAAAATTTTTTTGACCAAAATTTTTTTTGACCAAAAATTTTTTTCCGAAAATTTTTTTGACTAAAATTTTTTTCACCAAAATTTTTTTGACCAAAAATTTTATTGACCAAAATTTTTTTGACCAAATTTTTTTTTCCAAATCAAAATTTCAAATTCAAATTTTTCCAGATCAAAAATTTTTTTCCAAAAATTTTTTGGACCAAAAATTATTTTGACCAAAAATTTTTTTGACGAAAATTTTTTCGACGAAAATTTTTTTGACCAAAATTTTTTTTGACCAAAAATTTTTTTCCGAAAATTTTTTTGACTAAAATTTTTTTCACCAAAATTTTTTTGACCAAAAATTTTATTGACCAAAATTTTTTTGACCAAATTTTTTTTTCCAAAATTTTTTTGACCAAAATTTTTTTAACCAAAAATTTTTTCCCAAAAAGTTTTTTGACCAAAAATTTTTCTTCAAAAATTTTTTTGACCAAATTTTTTTTGATCAAAAATTTTTTGGCCCAAAAATATTTTGACCAAAAATTTTTTTGACGAAAATTTTTTTGACCAAAAATTTTTTTGACCAAAAATTTTTTTCCGAAAATATTTGACCTTTGCCATTTGACCTTTGACTTTTTAGGACCAAAATTCTTTTTTCAAAATTTTTTGGACTAAAATTTTTTGGACATAGAAAACACGTGAAATTTACAAAAAGTCGATTTTCTGCTCTCCTGAGCGAAAAATGTACGACTAATGTTGTGGTATTTATTTATTGTTGAATAAAACAAAATTATTTATACGTTAACAACGAAGATAACCTTAATGCTTACCTTACCACGTCTCGAACCTGCTACCCTCTTCTCTCCAGCGACTCCCACCTCCCAATGCGCGACGCCACGATGATCACATTAGTGAATCGTTACAAAGTAGGTGATATTTTATATTTTAAACGAAAAAAAAATTAACAGGTCATATGACCAAAAAAAGTAGGGTAGGTATGACCTGTGTTATTGGTACAGTGATGGCTTCTTACCAAAAGGGTACCGAGTTCGAATCATACCTCCACCCATAAAGCGAAAATCAGCAGTACGACTAACGTTCTTGTATTTATTTAATGTTGAATAAAACAAAGTTAATATTTAGATATAACAAACTAACAAGTCATGAGGCCGACAAATAACAGAACACATGTGACCTGTGTTAGCTTAATTGGTAGCACGATGGCTTCATATCCAAAGGGTACCGAGTTCGAATCATACCTCCACCCATAAAGCGAAATTCAGCAGTACGACTAACGTTCTTGTATTTATTTAATGTTGAATAAAACAAAGTTAATATTTAGATATAACAAACTAACAAGTCATGAGGCCGAAAAATAACATAACACGTGTGACCTGTGTTAGCTTAATTGGTAGCACGATGGCTTCATACCCAAAGGGTACCGAGTTCGAATCATACCTCCACCCATAAAGCGAAATTCAGCAGTACGACTAACGTTCTTGTATTTATTTAATGTTGAATAAAACAAAGTTAATATTTAGATATAACAAACTAACAAGTCATGAGGCCGAAAAATAACAGAACACATGTGACCTGTGTTAGCTTAATTGGTAGCACGATGGCTTCATACCCAAAGGGTACCGAGTTCGATTCATACCTCCGGCCACAAAACGCAAACACACCGGGTCTGTTGACGTTGTTGAACGTGGCGTGCACGGAATCACATCCGTTCGAATTTGGGACTCGAGGTATGATGCTCCCTTCGATTGAGAGAGGAGAGATACGCGAGAGAATCTCGTATCATCTCCTACTAAACCCCGCAGCATCTCTAAACAGGGGAGAGGGGGTTATTGGGGGGTGTTCCATTCACGAAAAAGGGAGAGGGAGGGACTATAGGGTAGTAAAGGTTTCCCTCTCCCCCCTGTAGTCACCAGCGCTAGGGCCAGCCCTGGATCGCCCTCGGTTGAAAAACTGGGTGTCATCACAGGTCCCCCTCCGGGGACTTCGGATAATCCAATAATCCGAAGTCGCACCCTCCGGGGACTTCGGATAATCCGATAATCCGAAGTCGCACCCTCCGGGGACTTCGGATAATCCGTTAATCCGAAGTCCGATAATCCGAAGTCCGGATAGTGCGAAATCCGGATAATCGAAAGTCCAAGTTTTTTTGACCAAAAATTTTGACCTTTGCCATTTGACCTTTGCCATTTGACCTTTGACCTTTGCCATTTGACCTTTGACCTTTTCATTTTTTGTACAAAATTTGTTGACCTTTGTCCTTTGCCATTTGACCTTTGACCTTTGATCTTTGACTTTTGGACCGACATTTTTGGCCTTTGACCTTTGCCATTTGGCCTATGACCTTTGACCTTTGCCGTAACCGTTGCTATCTTGAAATTTTCAGTTTTTTTGGTCAACATTTATTGACCTTTGCCATTTGACCTTTTGACAAATTTGACCTTTGACCTTTTCATTTTTTGTTCAAAATTTGTTGACCTTTGCCCTTTGACCTTTGCCATTTGACCTTTGACCTTTGACCTTTGATCTTTGACTTTTGGACCAAAATTTTTGGCCTTTGACCTTTGCCGTAACCGTTGCCATCTTGAAATTTTCAGTTTTTTGGTCAACATTTGTTGACCTTTGCCATTTGACAAATTTGACCTTTGACCTTTTCATTTGGTTGGTTCAAAATTTGTTGACCTTTGCCTTTGACCTTTGACCTTTGACTTTTTGGACCAACATTTTTTGGCCGTTGACCTTTGACCTTTGCCATTTGACCTTTTTCCCAAAATTTTTGGACAAAAAACTTTGACCTTTGACCTTTTCATTTGT